CCCAACCAACAACCGTCAATTTCCTGACTTCCTGCGTCTATATGCCTTTTGTGGTGGAGTTCCGCAATCATCTTTTTCCACTGATGGTTACCGGTACGCCTTTGGCTGTCTTAATGGTGGTACCTCTAGCCTTACGATTTTGCCCGACCAATCTAGCGGCATCGAGGAGGAATCTTCCTGAGGCACCGTTGGTAATCCGAAAAACTTGGCAAGATCAATTTGTTCTCGACACATTTTTTTGTGTATGTAAATGAATGTGTAGACAGTAAGCTTGGTATAGTGGTGCAAGCCGTGGCAAGATGACCGTTCTTCCTAGCCTGCATGCTTCGAAGAGACATGAGAATGGATGGATCAACCACTGCAACCCAAAGGAGCCAGGATTCTTTCGGTGTGGCGTTGAAAGTGTTGTCTATGTTTGAGTTTTAAAGCATCACCTCGCGATTTCAGCAGATCCCGGCAGCCAATCAGCTGTTGCCACTCATCTGTGATAGTATAAAACTGTCTGATCAAATTAATGGGGGCAGATAGTGCTCTAGGACACAATCAAGAGCAATGTTTAGGAAGGATTTGTCGAGTTCTTCAGTTGCAGCAGCTGCTTCGGCTTCGTGGCTCCATGGTGCCCAGATGCAGAGTGGTATGAAGTTTAACTCGTCCAATCTGCGTCTGCCCTTCATCCCGGACCGAAAATAAAAGGATCCAAAAAAGTGCGGAAGATCCAGTTATGACGTAAACTCGACCTCGCTGAATCGTGCCTTCCGTTCTGCCTCTCGACGATCTCTCTCACTTCCAAATTCTCAGCACTCATCGATCATCGCCATCCTTGTTGCTTATTTGTTGTTGTTGACCGCAATCCCGTCAACAAGAAGGAAAAAGATGGGAACGAAACTCAAGAAGAGCAACGCCGCCAACATGGGGCCCAAAGAGCGCATCGTGAAGATTACCCGTCGTTTGGAGCAAGATCAGTTGGGGCCCAAGATGAAGGCCAAGCTGCTAGCACGTCTGGTCATGCTGCAGGGACTCGCCGATGGCTTTGCCAAGGAAGGCAAGCAGCCAGCTTTTCCTGGGTTGGCCATGCGCTTGGCTATCATCCAAGAAAAGCTGAAGACGGAAGAAGATCCAGCTCGTCGTGCGGAACTGGAGAAGCGCAAGGCCAATGTGCAAAACAGGCTGGCTCAAAAGCAGCAGATGCGGGCCAACAAGCAGTGCCAGAACATCAAGCAACGCTTGTCCAATATCGAGGCCAAATTGATGAAGGAGAAAGACCCCGCAGCTCGTGCTAACTTGGAAGCACGCAAGGCTAATTTGGAAGCCAAGTTGGCAAACAAGGAGAACAAGCAGGATACCAGTCGTGGAGTAGTGAGCTCGGCCGATGATCATGAGCAGTGGATGAAGGTGGATGTCCCGAAGCCCAACACTTCCTTCTCGTCTGCCGAGGCTGGAGCAAGTGCACCCAAGGTAACAAACAACGCAGGAGAAGACCAGAAGGAAGAAGATGTTGGCAAGCTTGAAGTTGACGAGGAACTGATTGCTGCCTTCCCTCAGGTGACCAAGCGGTTGACTAAGATCACACTGAAGTTGAAGACAGTGAAGAATCCTGACAGGCGCAAAGCTCTTCTCAATCGCAAGGCCAAGGTAGAAGCCAAGCTTGCAAGGAAGCAGGAGAGCCTCAGAAAGGAAGCCAAACAAGAGGACACCCAGGTGGGTCTGGATGGTGTGAAGGAGGAAGAGGAAGATTTCTCTGGGCCTGAAGTGGATCCGCAGTTGATTGTTGCCTTTCCGAAGGTGACACAGCGTTTGATTAAGATTGCCCTGAAGTTGAAGACTGTAACCAATGAGGGTCAGCGACAATACTTGCTCCAACGAAAGGCAAAGGTTGAAGCCAATCTTGCTAGGAAGCAGCAGCAGCTAAAGAACCGCGCTATGAAAAGAGGCTCCTTTCCTGGAATCAACAGAAAGTTGGCAATGATCGACACTCAATTGAAATTGGTCAATGATGATACCGAGCGTGCAGACTTGGAGAAGCGCAAGGTCTTATTGCTGCGCAAACGGATGGAGAAGCGCCAAGCGATGGATGCTGGCCCTGGAGGGCACATCTCTTGTCAATTGGAACGCACACAGGCGCTCTTGGTGGAAGCAACCACTCCTGAGCGTCAATGCTCCTTGGAATCTCGCCTCTTGCACTTTCAGCAACGCCAGGAAGAGGCTTCCCCGTCTACGCTCTCTTGCGCCCCTTATGATCCTCGCCGCGAAAAGCAGAAACAAAAGTTTATCCAAATGGAACAGAAGGCTCGAAGCAACAAGAACGAAAAGGCTTTGGATCGTATTGCTTTGCAGCAAGTCTATGTCGCTCATTATCCGGACCCCCAGCACTATGTGTCCGCCTTTGGTGGAAATAAGTCTATCAAGAAGCGCGCGATTCTCAGGGCACAGGCTCTGGACTTGGCTTCTTCCGAGCAGGGCGTAAACTGGATTGCCGCCGACATGTACGAACGCTTGCCTCAGCAGTGGAGCATGGATGACGAGGTTGCTACGTTTGGTGATAAGCAGCAACAGAACCAGAAGAATGTCAAGAAGAGCGCAGCAAACAACGAAAGCGAGGAAGATTTTGTTGCTGTGTGCGCGGAAGAGGATGTTCTGAGCTTGGACGACTTTTCTGAAAAGTTCTTGCCCGACTATGGGCTTCGCGAGTCTGGCGTCTTGGAAGATGGTTTCGAAAAGGTACCTTTGCTTGACGCCAAAGCGATCGAAGACGAGGGCTGGATGGAAGTGGACGCCAAGGAGACTGATCTTCCCGCGGTCGCCAAGAAAGCCAACAAGAATGGCAAGGAGACTAGCGAGAAGCACGGTTAAGGCGTTCTCGGATTCCAGGCCACGCAAGAAATGATGGCTGCGCGTGTTTTTTGCATGTATTTTGAATAGACAGATCCGATTCATGGAATCAGAGCCTAGGCATCTTCCGAATTGAATTCAAAGTCGCAACAAATAAGTCAAATCCTCCCCATCCAGTCTGAAACTAAACTAGTAAACAGCCATCAAGTGCTTGAGAGAAATCACCGTTCCCAATGAAACTCGTACAGCTATCCAGTATGGTGATTGGCTTTGCTCGATGCTTGAGTGTGTGCCTCCCGCAAACACTGGATGAGGCTGGATTGCGGCTGAGATCCCTTCGCATAGTCCGAACCCGCTCGATTGCAATTCCTTGCATGATCCGTTGACTTTGCTGACTCATGTCGACCAGTTGGGAAATACAGACGAGGAGGGCACCTGATGCATGCATCATTGGATGGAGTGTGTTCAGACAAAAGCAAAACAAATGAGGATTTGTTCGTTCTCATGCATGCATGCATGCACCAATCCCACGGATACCCGAGTTCCTATGACAGTCAGTATACTTGCTTACCGGTGAACGCAATGTTGTACATTTGAATAATGAGCTGTATAGCTTCCCCGATATCGGCATCGACGTTGCGGGTCTGATTGGCCAGCGAACACCAATCTCCCCCGTAAAGATCAAGGACGTGATGAAAAACGCTGGCGTGCCCCTTTGAAAAGTAATGTGCTGGACGGGCTCGCTGGCCGTCAGCTCCAGGGTTTCCGTGGGGCGCGATGGATCGACAAAGGTAAAAATCATGAGTATGGTGAATTGTGTCACAATGATGGGTAGAGTGAACAGGATGGACTTGGACTGGGAGATGGAATCCCTGCGAAATCTTGCCGCCAGGCAAACGGCACATCCAATGATTCCCAGAGCGCATACGAGTGCAAATGCGACACTTCCTGGAGTAATGGTATCGGTGGTGGATTGTTCAATGGGACTTGCTACAACGATTCTCCACTCTAGATTTTCGTTGGGGCTTATAAAGGGTATCGACTGTGCGGCATAGGCGGCTCCTGCTTCATCATGGGCATTGCTTGTTTGTCGTTGTCGTAGTTTTTGACAATGACAATCTCGTCGTCCGGGAACCCCGCCTCTTGCAAGGATAAATGAGCGTTTTGGATGATATTGTCGAGTAGCGTTTCTTCTCCCATTTGTGACACGGTCATCCTTTGCAAGGTGCATTTGTTGTCTTTGTCCTCCTCAGACAAAGGACAAGCCTTGGATGGTTCGTCTTTGTAGACACTCTCGTAAATGGCAATAACAACGGTTTGTTCGAGATTGGCGGCAATCTCGACGAGGGTGTGGAAATTTCCTGCAACTGATAATCGACCACGATGACTCCCTTGAAAATTTTAGCGGAAAAGGCAGTGTCGTTTGTTTCCATATCGGCCATCTTGTGGTATTGGTACAAGGGCCTGGAAGAGGTGGTCCCAATGTTTCCATCCGAGAAAAAGGTGTATGGATCTGAAACAGTGGTTTCTGTAGTTGTCGGGCTTGCCGGTAAAAGGCACGATACCGGTGATCGTAGTTGCGGCTGCGGTAGACTCCAGTGTGAGTGGTGTTGCAAAACACTACTTGGCCACCACCGCATTGTGCGTAGGGTCCACTAATGACGCGGTCGACGGGTGATCCATCCGCAAAGGTGTCTGTTTGCGTGAGTTGTCCATCGTTGGGTCGTATACAAGAATACGACCGTGGAATGCATCCCAGGGTTTGATTGGGCTGTACCGTACGGATGGTGTAGTTTTGGCACCACACAATGTTGTTACCATCAAGGTTAATAAAAACTCAGTGATATTTTTGTTTTCCCTGGGACAGGGTATCAGCTGACTGGCATTGCCATTGCCATGGCCATCTGCAGCCTCGTGCTCGACTGTCACGTACTGTGTCCCTTCTTCCATTAAGCAAGGCACGTGTTCACCATTGGCTCGATCGACGCACGTGTTGTAATGGATATTGTTGGTAGGGTAAAAAGGGGTCGCACCCCGAAAATCCAGGTTCTCGATAATTGGCGCCCAAGCCTCCCTCGTCGTAAGTTGTCAAGACACCGTCGTCCAAGAAAAAGCCAAAGAAAACCTTGCGCTTCATTTCCAACAAACTCGAGTACAAGAACTTCAAGGCCAGATCGCGATCGGGAGCTTCCAAGTTGTTGGGGAATAACTCGAGCGGATCCCACAGGTTCGCCACTTGCGCCGTATACGAGGGACCCACATTCATAAACGTATCCACGCAATCGTGCACTCGCAGAAGCAGTTGACGAATCAAGTCGTCCCCTTCTTTGGCTGCAGTTATACATAACAACCTTAGCGTTAGTAGAACCAATCTACTAGCGGTATTTTAAGAAGTCGAACCATCGCTGCATTCAATGGTCGGGTCGTGGTGTGGTTGTCATGTGTTGTGGTAAACGTGTTGTGTGGTTTTGTGTTGTGTTGTTTTGTGTTATTGTGTTGTTGGGTGATCGAGGGGTCTCGGCAAAGGGTTCAGTTGATGGAAAACGCTGAATCAAAAGGCAAGCTGAGAATCGCATTCCTCTGCAAATTTGGTTTCACTTCTCCCAAACACTGCTCCCGAACACTTCTTCTCCTGAACACTTCCTCCATTTTCGAAATGCCCCAGGGAGACATCTTCAAGCGCGCTTCAACTATGTCGAGTACCGGTACAGAGTGGGTCATTGAGCTGTCATTGATTGCTCTTTCCTCTTTCCTTACATGTATTACATCGTAGCACCAGTGCCCACGACACGTACCAGTACCAAGGTACCGGTACCGGTACGGTAGCTAGCCAATACCCAGTTAAGTCAACCACAAGCACACGGAGAACAATGTTGGCGTTGACAATAATGATTGAGCTAACAATCAATTTGACCACATCATGCAGCAAGTTGCCCATGAAGCAAAGTTGAACAGCCAGCAGTGTTGAGCAACCATACAATTGGGCTGAACTGCATCAGAGAAGCAAGGCCACTGAATTGGCCTTTCCCACGCATCCATGGGGATGCCATGACGCAATAAAAGGTTGGGAAGCAACAGGAGCATTTGAAGCTCAAGAATGAGTGCCGTGACAAAGCTACTTTTCTTCCTAGCCGCCTTGTTTCGAGCAGACATGAGAATGGGTGGATCATCAACGACGGCCACCCAAATTATGTTGGTTCTTCCATTGCAGCTCTCATGATCAACAACCAATCAATTGAACGCTACAAGCCACGGGCCCATTCGGGTCGCAAGTTGTAAACGTCATCCTCTTCAGGAGCGTCCAGAACCGCAGCCAACTGTGCCAACATCGTTTGCTTGTCTCTGCCGAGACGTCCCTTTAGTACCAAGTAGTTTGAGGCATGATCGGATCGAAAGATTGTACTGTTGGTGGTGATATTGGTGTTTTGTAAAAAGCTGTACAATTCCTGCAACGACTCCCGTGCCGTCAACGGTTCAAAGAAGTGAGGACTTTTGGTGTCGCGAGTCGCTTCCTCTTCTTCTTGCTCCAAATAATGGATCCGATAGCCCTCTTCGATGCGGTCCAAGCCTCGCGGAAATGAAGTCGTCAAAACGGATAGAAACTCCGGTTGACTTGCACTAGCGAGGCGGGCAGATTGAATGGCGTGTTCCTCACTGTACCGCTTGCCCCCCAACCCCAACAAGATCATGATGGATCGCTTGATGCCAGCGTCTTGCAGTTTGGTAAGTTCCGATAGGGATGTTTCGTAGGTTTCTCCCTTTTGGACGGCATCCAAGACGTTGTCACTGCCGGATTCACAGCCTACATACACCAGTCGAAGTCCCAAATGGCGTAGTTCCGTAAGGTCTTGCACAGACTTGTAGTAAATGTTGCGCGGCAAACAGTAGCTGGACACTCGGCGCACTCGTGGAAAGTGCTGTTGAATCATTTCCAATATAGCCATCAGCTGCTTGGTAGGTAAGCTCATGGCATCCCCATCGGCCAAAAAGACGTCCCTGACCGCATTCGGCCCACGAGTAGCTACCACGATCTGCAGTTCCTGCTCGATATCTTCGATTGGCTTTGCTCGAAACTGTTTGGTTTGGTACATTTCACAAAACGAGCATTTGTTCCAACTACAGCCTATGGTGACTTGCAGAATGAGGGATCGCCATTCGGCAGGAGGTCGAAACACGGGTTCGTCGTAGAGCAAGGGCGACGATGTGGAGAACACCTCCGACTGTCGACGACCTTCTGTCATGAATGGCGGACCAATCGAGACTATCCCATATCGTTGAAAGGCTGTCGCTAATGAGAGCAACGCAAGCAAAAGGGAAACGTAACCAAGCAAGTTCATGATCTTGAATGAATGGAATCACTCTCGGAAAATTGTGTGCTGCCGACCTCCCGAATTGGCAACCGAGAAGATCTGGATCGACCGCGATCATGAGGCAGAGGTGCGCCATAGATCTTACTGTAGCTTTCAGAGCTGTTGATCCACTTTGAATCGAATGAGTCGATTCAATCGAATCTTCAATCGAATCGGAGGAGGGACCAAAAAGTCCTCAGAAAGCTGCTCGTCCTATTGGCTGGCTACCAGTAGAGGTTGCTGTACCATTAATGCATTGGACCTGACTAAACAAGTTTGTGGTGGATGGATGTGAAGAGCGTGCACTCTGCTCTTCCGCAACGAGATCATTTTGTCTGTGGGATCTATCGGCTGTGGGATTGCCGCCGTATCGTTGGAAATTTGTTTGATCCCACCTGGGTTGATCGTAGACTGTGGATTATCCCAGATGACAAAGCAAGCAACCTACATATCCAAAAGCAGGTAGTGTGTCGTAGAAAGTACGTACACCAGCAATAGCACCGCAACCAAACCTTGCAATCAAAGAAGTTCTGTTTGGCGCTCTGGTTTTTAGCCTCCCAAAACTGCTGTTGGCAATAGCAAGGATCCGAAGCAAGGATCCTACAAACCTATCAGATCTGCCTGTATTGCAAAAACTCAGGTCAAGAAGCAGTGACCCCTTGCGAATCGACAGCCTCTCCAGCCCTGATCCACAGTCAGCTACCGGTGCCGGTAGCCAACTGGAAAGGCGGAAATGGAAATATGAAGAAGGTCTTGACAATAGCCATAACCCAAGCAAGATAGATAGACAGGAGGTAGATAGAACCTAGCTGGCAATCTACCTAGAGCTAGCTAGTTACTGGCTAGCTAGAGCTATGCATAGAATAGAATATTCATCAAGAGTGGCGGGAAGGTGTCCCACCACGCGAAGGTTCTCTTTTTTCTTCACTTGTTGTTCTCATTGGCTTTCCGTTCGAGGATGCCAAGATTTGCATCCAATGACGATGCCAGTGATTCTTGCCGCGGGATTTGCTGTCCGTTGGTCCATTTTTTTGGTCCAAACGAAACAAAAACTCATTCTCAGCAAACTTTATTGCCAGTACAGCACTCGATCCTTTATCTCCCACTCTCTCTCCTCTTCCGTCCTTCAATTTGGAGTCTAGTAGCTACTAGTAGTATTTGACCATGATGATGCTCCGTTCGTTGACCGTGTGTTCATTGCTGACGGCAGTGTCTGGATATGTGCACAACGATCCTCCTCGCGACAAGACCCGTCCTCATAATGCCGGCGATGGCGCTCAAGGTGCTCAGCAAAGAACCCAAGGTCAAACCAATCAAGATCCGCAACGTCCTCAACAACAACAACGTCCACAATCCGCTGCCACTACGGCGGGTAGTGCCGTGAATGCGAACAAGCAAATGCCTCCTTTTCCTCACTTCCGCTTTATTTCATGGTTCGTACCAATTTTTAATTACTGGTATTGGTGTACCATGCCAATGCCCCTTCTAACCTTCTAACTTGCTTTTTTAGGGACAAGATGAGTGAAAATGTGCGTCACCACGCCCACAAGGTGGGATATCAGGAAAAGAATTGGAACAAGCCTGGAGCCCACAATCTGGAACGCCTCTCGTTTGACGACATTCACGCCAATCACATTCAAGTTTACGATGAACTCATGGCCATGGGCTTTGAAGCTGGATCGCAGTGGGATTGTTACATCAATCACTACCGTGCCCTCGATTGGGCAAACCTAGGAGCACATCAACAGGATTATCAAGTACTCGGTTGGACACAGGCATTGTGGGATGATGGCGAGGAAGAAGCCGAAACGGAAGGTGGCTACTGGACTGACATGACGCCACAACAGCAAATTGCCGCTTCCAATCTATGCTATACACAGGAAATGTGGGATGACGTCGTTTTGCCTCTCTGGGGACAAGATGATGGAAAAGGAGGAGAAACCGATCAAGACGAAAACAATAACAGCAACCACAACTTACCCCAGAAACAAGTAGACCAAAAACAAGACGTATACGACACCATCTACGATGAACAGGACCGCACTCCCGATACCATTCCCATTGGTCCCAACACGGCACACAACAGTCGTGGTGTCGAAACTCCCTTTTTCCGATACAATGCATGGTCCGATCTTTCCGCCGACGTCAAGAAACTCGCTCATCAAGCCGACTACAATGGCAAGACGTGGAATTCCCTCGATACCGAAAAAATGGACTTTGAAACCATTGGAGAAGAAGATCCGGAAATCCATGTTGCACTTGTTCAATTGGGATTCACCGCCAAAGTCTGGGACTGTTACATGATCCACTACCGCAGCTACGAATGGGGCGAACTCAAGGATGCCGGTGTCCAACAATACTATGCGACGTTGGGATGGACGGAAGATTCCTGGAATGACGAAGCGGATCCTCCTGCCACGGATGGCGCCTACTGGCCCGATTTGTCCCAAGAACAACAAGATGCCGCCTACGAACTCTGTTATTTTCGCGAAACCTGGGATGAAGTCAGTATGCAATTCTGGCCTCGTACTACGGTCAACAGTCCAGTCGAGTATGCCAAGGACTATGCCAAGACGCATCCTGCCAGTGCCAGTGGTGCCGTGGTAATTACTATTACGGTTCTCATTGGACTCTTGTTTTGCTGTGCCTGTTGCTGCAAATTCCTCTTCTTTCCATCCACTCCCCAAGTCACCACTGCCTCCCGAAAGGATTTGGAAATGTACCGTTACGATGAACGTGACATTCATGCACAAGTCTATCGTGATGATCCCGCCATTATTACCGATGACAGCAACTCGGCAAAGTTTACCGATGCTGTGGAGGATTTTGCCATCAACAATAAGGCGTCCATTGTGTAAAGCATGATAGCAGGTGGACTTAACGATGGAATGCATGGAATGCATGGCGAGATTAGCGCTGTAGAAGAACCTCCTTTATGACGGCCTTTTTAGGTTGGCCGAGAATTACGTTTTGAATAAAAGAAAATGTATGAATGTCAAATTTAATCATCACGTCTTTATGGTACAGTAGTTATGTAGGTCCTCGCAAGGTGCATGGCTTGTTGTACCAGTAGATGAAAAAGCGTTCAGAGGGAAGTCCATGCACTCCATTTCAGACAAACTTTGTGGCCCAATTCAAAACCACAATTGAGATGCAGAGACAGCAGGAAGCTACCAAAATAAATGGTAACAGCTCTTGAGTAGCTGGTCTCCAACTGTGTTTCCCTTACATGTTTACGGGACATCCTTCAGGAGTGCCACCATCGTGCCCATCAGCACAGTCCTACCATGCAATCCATGATTGCTTATTGGAAAGGGTGCAATCTTGCGATGGCTTCTTATTGCCAAGGGTGCAGCCTCAATGGAATTTAGACTGTCCCAATTGCTTGTGATTCTGAATTGGGTCAATTTATTTCTATTTCCAAAACCAAGTTTGTACTCTTTTTTTATTTGTTTTCGATAAAGACTATTCCTTATCTCTTTAAGGGTGTCAAATGCGTCGTTTATAGAGACTATAATAAAATAAGAATTGGTTAATTATTTATGATCGAAACGTCGAAACAGCATCTTTCTTCTGCAATGATGCTTTGTGTTCCTAGTTCTTCGTGAATCGATGATTTAAAGTTAATTAATTAACGCAGTTTCTCTTTTCTTTTGTAAAATGTACGTACTCCATACGGTATTAACGCCTTGTCTTTCCTTTGTATTCTCCTTAAACATCCCTTTTTGCTGGGGTAGTCATGAAATGAGAGCTCTATTTCAAAAATGATCTTTGATGGATCTTTTGCAAGAGGTTCTCCATGTCGCAGCCCCCAAAAGATCCAATCGCACCTTGATGGTCACCTGCCATAACTTCAATTGACAAGCTTGAGATGGCAGCAATAATAATGGTAGCAATGCCTCTGATAGAAACTCAGTAATGTACTACATGTACAAGCCTTACCAGAGAAGGACAATAAGATGAAGAACCTGTGTTGCTTACTAGTGTGTCGAAAGCAGCATCAGCATCAGCAGCAAGACCGCCGAAGTCTGACTTTGCAACGAGATCACTACAAGCATGGCAGCAGTGCAAGCTGGAAGAGAAGAAGAAAGTTTGGAGTTTTCCTGGCCATGGTCATGGGGTGTCTTGTCTGGTACGTATGCTACCTGTACATGTACACCTTGTCTCCAAGCACTGGTAATAGTCAAGGAGAGGGCATTTTGATTACTAGTTCCTCTGCTACTAGTACCACTGCATTATCTACTAGTAGTAAGGTGAGCCAGCAGAAACAAGCGCAAGCTCAGCAGAAGACCAATGACAAGACTGCAGAAAAGCCTGATCGTGGTTCTGATGATGCCAATCCCAAGCAGGCAGCAGTGGAACTAGGAGCTTCTGCAGTGTCAACCATGCCTGCTTGTGAGACCAATGCCCAGACTACTCAAGCTTCCACTGAGCTTGTCTGGCAAGCCTTTGAGTCCACTGTGAAATTGCTGGACAAGCTTGGTGTCGACTATTGGCTATCTGCCGGCACACTGTTGGGTTTTGTCCGCAATTGTTCTCATATTCATTACGACCTGGACTTTGCCATTGATCTTCGCTGGCTTCAACAACGTCAGCTCCAAGAAATGCTACTCGTAGAAACATTCATGCAAACCAATCCAGGCCAGTTCCGACACAACAAATTCTTCAAGGGCGTCGATGGGACCACACTCTCTGAAGGAGCCGAACGAAACTTTGTCTTTGAAAATAATGGAAACATCAAAGTCGACTTTTTTCATTCGCTCCGCACCCAAAACTTTTTTCGCAATGGGTACAATACCGAACGAGGCTTATTCTCCTGTCCGCGACCCATGCAATACGTACAATCCTTCCAATGGCGCAATCTAAAGGTGCCCGTTCCCATGCCCTATCAAGACGTATTAAAGGCAACCTACGGTGTCGACTACATGACACCCCAAAAACGACGCAAACGAAAAGACCATTTTCTATGGAAAGCCACTGACGGGGGTTGTCTCATTGTACGACCCGGAAGAGCGCATCGACATTATGACGACAAGATTGGTATACTGACGTGTCTTGTCACTACTAGCGCTACCAGTGAACAACAAGTCGTGGCACAAGCCCGTGCCCTCGTGCAAAGTCTACGCAAATGGGAGGCTCCCGTCACGCTCGAACTGTATCACTACGAGACGCTCACCGACACACAAAAAACACTCATTATGGGAGACGACTACTTGCTCGACGACGACAAGGTACGATTTGTACAGCTCGACAGCAATAATCAACAAGAGGACGACGAGTCACACTGTTACGAGCAAGCGCTTGCCACGACGAGCTTGGAACATGTCTTATTGGTGCGACCGTCCATTATCTTTTTGCGCAATCCACTCCATTGGGTCTACACGGCACACTACGTACACGAACGAGACTGCAAATGTCAAACCACCTGCGCCACTTCCACCGTGTGGGAACTCTTGACCAACAAGCCATGCGTCCGCTTTCATGCCAATCAAACGACTCCCACGTTGATCACCCAAGACGACTCTGTCGAAACCGAAATTGCCGTATTTCATTCCTCCGTCCATCGATCTCTCAATTGGGCCTATCCCACACCACATTATTATGACACCACCAACACACAACAATCATTCGACGCCGTGTCTTTGTTAGTCCAGACGACGGGAGAGCAACGTGCCCCGCTGGCCGAAGAATACGAGCCACATGTGCGGCATCACCGGAAATCGTACCATGCCGCTTGGCAACAACAATTGGCCCGTCCGTAGTATAACAAGGCCCGAAATACACCAACATGGACTCGATCGTGGGATTACATGCGTGCGCTGATTGGAAAACCCGGCACCCTTCGAGGCTGATGACAAAGATGGAAATCAGGGCGCTAAGAAGCGGCCATGAGATTGGAGCAGGCAATGATGCCTCTACAAGATTGCATAATAAGCGTCGATCAGGTGCAAGACTTTACAGAGTGAGACACAGGTCGGCATGAACATCACCAGCGTCCGCTCGTTCCAGCAACAATGAATTGACCGTCGGTAAAAGGACGAACTGCATGACATTTTCTGGCTGTGAATTCTTTTCATGCAGGCAACTCGTCGAGTCGAGGCAGGGGATTTCATCCACTCCTCCACGAGAGCTTGGCTTTGCCAGCACGGGTGACAGGGAGGGAAGCATCCATCGCGCCTGTCCGACATTATTAATAACCTGTGCGGCATGACCATTGACACGAAACTTCTTTCCCACCGTCTGCCGCGACATTATCACGCTGCCCAGCCCTTTTGGAGCAGCCAGAAAATACTTCAAGCTAGTAGTGGGGCTTGGCTATCCACGGAGCAAGTCGAACTCAATTAGACGGAGGGTGTCACCATGGCTATTATGAGAAGATATCGTGGGAACAGGATTCAGTGGGCAGGCAACTATTTCTCTTTAGAGTGTTCTGTTTGGCTAGTCAGTCGAGTCATATGGACAGGTCAATAGCGACGGGACGTTCAGGTTTGTGGCTCGACGGCTCCAATGTAGGAGGCCTCTACTTAGGCTGGCCCTTGCTAGCTGGTAGCGTTTTCACAACTCAGCGGAGCCCACCATACTGTTATAAACATCCCCACCCCCCGCAATGAAGACTATCATCACAATAATGTAGGAAGGCACGACAAACCAGCGACCGATCCAGTCAACATTGTGGTCATCTTCCTCTGACTGTCCGTCGATTGTTGCATTAGGATCGCTGTTTTGTGTGAGTGCTCCTCTGGAATGTACAGATAGAGTGCTCCCTGTGGCAACATTGGCGTGTCCATGCTTTTCTTCCAAAAGATCATCCACGTCAATTTCCTTTGGTTTTCCGTCAGCAGGTGGACTCGTCTCTTGGGCTGATGGTTGAACGTGCTGTCGGTTTTCGGGTTTCTGGTCAACGGCCACGCTACCAGAAGCAGAGGAATCATCACTGTTGCTCTCAGAGTCTGATGAAATTCCAGCGCCCGCATGGTTTCCACCGGAAATGCCATTGGTGCCTACTCCAACCGAAGGATCCCCCCGAGGTCCTTGCACGGTGACTTCTCTGGGTGGGCAATTCATAGCTTGACTACCCAAAGACATGTTTCCTTGTGCTGTCTGGCTACGAGCAATTGCGCCGGTGCCCGCATTGGTATCCGGTTCAGGCGTACATTGATTGCCCACTGGGGCGTGTGCAGTGGAGGAGCTACGAGTCCAAGGTAACGTGAGATTCCCTGGCAGGCAGCAACACAAACTGCGAATTGAGGCCATGTGTGCGTAGGAGAAGAACAGGATGATCATGACCAAAGCTTGATAGACAATGTTGATCATCAAGAATACCTCCGACCATGTCATATCAGATGTGCTTGGAATCTCGACTGTCTCGCGAAATGTCAATGCACAGAGGAGAGACGTGATGCCCAATCCCACAGAATCACTTTTGTTCTCGATCCAAAAAGTCATGAATCCAACGACATTGATGATAATTGCAGGGAGAATCACACGAACATAGGCCGTGAACGGTCGTCTCTCAAAGTGCATTTGGTAGTAGACTGCATCACCCTCGGGACGAATGTATGTGCCATTGCATTGGTTCTCCATTGCAAGAGAAGTGCCAAGATCGAAGTTGTCATCACTAGAAACCACCTCAAATCCAAATCTGTGGTCCATGCACACGCCTGCCGGTGCTGTCAAGTCGATCGAGCAATCATGAGAATCAAAAGGATAACTGCGCAGACTCTCCGTAGTGGCACACAAGGTCCTTATCAAAACGTTGGTCTCGAGAACTACCAATCCATGATAATAGACCAAGGCTGGTTTTTCATACAGAACCGTGTACTGGAAGGAGTTTTGGACATACAAGCTTGGTGTCCAGATCATGTTTCGATCCACTGGCAGTGAGCCAACATCTCTGCTGCTAATGAGGTTGAATTTCAAGCGATGGTCATACCACATCAACTTTAGCCAAACGACGGCTTCGACTTGGCCATCAAATGGCATCATCTCCGAAATGGAGACATCATAGAGTCCGGTGGACACTGGGACAATCTTTGAGGGTGGCAACTTTCGCTGGTACCCAGTCAGGAGGTTGTCGCTCGCAAATCCCAGTGGGTCACTGGATACCACCATGACATCTGTCTGGACAACTGCTGCGTTGTCACCGGGGAGATCAAATGCTGTTTGCAACATCGTGGTCGAATTCAGCCCCAGCTGCTGCGTGAGATTGGTAACTTCACTGATGGCCGTCCACAAACCAAGATTCGGATATAGCACCAATGGATCTACGGTTGCCAACACATTTTGTCGATCCATAATGCCTGGATGGTTGTCCCATCCTGTGACGGCAAGGGTGCCAAACTGGTCTGGCAACAATACTCTCTCGGCCACTTCTAGGACTTTTCTGACATGATAGTCCTGGGTAGTGAGAATGACTTCCGGTACTTCCCGGAAGCGAAGTGCCGCCAATATGGCAAGATCCGAGCTGTCGTTGATTTCCCACAGCTCGACAAGTTCCGTGTCGGGACAGAGCTTGCGGAACGCCTCCATTGCATCATCAATGCGAAAGTTCAAGTATGAGCCACCGTATGGTTGGTACACTTTGGCCACGGTTAGTTGGCGCCCCCCACCTCGGAGACGGCATAGCTCCTTGCCAATACCTCTGGCACCTCGTTTTTCATCCCCTTCAAAATATAGGTATAAAACTTGATTGGTGTCGAGACCAAACTGTTCCAAATTGATGGCATATTCGGATCCCCAAATACTGGCATGCCAAAAGGCCATTCCTCGTTTGAGCAGTTCTACCACGGGCGTCCAATCCGTGGACAAGCCCATGCCCAAGGTAATGACAAGAGTTTCATTGAGCTGGTCTCCCGCTAGGTCCACCACTTGTTCCAATCCCGCCACGTGGAATTCTCGTGTGTTTTGTCCGCCTGCTTCGCCCCCCTCGTAGCAAATGACTTTGGTGACTTGATCGTCACCCAAGGTTTCGTTGGCCGCCAATGTGAAGATGGAATACCAATCACTGGGGTCATTGCAGACACCTCCCACCAAAAAGATGTTGGCAAACTGAAAGGCCTCGTTGGCTCGAAAATTGGTAAAGCCCCATGATGCTACTGTTTCATTACTCGAGACTTCCAAAGTTGAAACATTCTGTTTCGTCATGACGGGCATCTCCCAAGCAGTCGTTCCATTCACGTGATAGTAAAATACCTTCCCTGTGGACGGATCCGTGTCTTGCGACCATCCCTCTGGCAGCTGATCAGAAGCAGGCACATTATCGGTAGTACTATTCAAAACAACCGTGGAATCCAAGAATCTCGGCTCCGCGCGAGCTGCATCCACCGACCAAGCCAACCACCAAAAGACGAGTCCAAGCACAGCAGGGACCATTTGCTTACAATTTCAATAAAATTGGTCCTTCTATTCTCAATTCAGTTGTGCTGAAGTCAATTGTGAGGTTGAGGCAGATAGTGTTGTGGGAGAAGTTACTACGTACCAGTATGGGTTAGTGCGGAAAAATTCTGGTTGGCAATCGAAGCATGCGTCAGCGCACTTTATCCAGTGTCCACCAGTGTCCAACCCTGCGGGTACATATGACTTAACAATCTCTAATTCCCATCCAACAAGTCATTCTGAAGTGTCACTGGACTTCCTGAGATGACTTTTCGCTCGATCTGGGTCCGCACCGGTCCACCTGCTCGATTCACACCTGAACTATTTGCATCAACTAATCATTCAATCGGCGGTACCGGTACCAGTACTTCTTCAGAACGACCACCATTGGATCGTTTCTGATCTTGGCGGTTGAGCGGAAGCAATCCTTCGGGAGAGGTGCTCCATGCCGGTGCAGCAGCCAAGAGATTCCGGTACGGTACGGTTGACCTGTGTGCAAGGGAAGACTGTGTGCCAGGTGAAGGCAGCATACCGTACTACCTACTGTGCCCGCTTTATCATGCAGTGGGTTTCAACTAGTGCACGTCGTAATCCAATATTTTGAGCCAGCAAATACTACTTGTATAACGGTAATTCCAGTGCTCTATTTTACGGCTACTTCGACTCGTCAAGGCACAAAGAATTGCCGCCCTCAAATGTCAGCGGACATGTCCCGCTCCTTTTCCATTGTTGGTCGAAAGCATGGAGGGGCGGAACCTTCCAGTTGGTCCCTGCGCCATGAGACCGGCACGGCGAAAGGCCGAGGTGTTGGTCCTCTCCTCAACGCTCTTCTTGTAGGATCGCACAATAGAGAATGTCATGGTGATTTGATTAGATTGATTAGTTTGGTTGGTCTTCTGCTTCTTGTTGATGTTTGCTTTTCAGTTTCTCGCTTTGTTTTTTTGTGAGTTTTGTGAGAGAAGAAGAGGCACAAAGTGTTGAGTACGTAGTAACGCAAAGCACCAAGCATCCTGATCGATTGAAACCCACAGCATCATTGGTTGGAGTGGGCTTCCGCATTGTGTGAGTTGATCGTACACGACTGTCTCGATGAGACCGCTGGCGTGTGGGAATCCTCAAGACTGCGAAAGTTGTTCTAAAAACTGTGAATGGGCATGAGACCGGCAGACTCTGGAGCTCCTTTCATCTCCAAGCCAATCCTCGGATGGGTGTAGAATTCGTCCGTGAGCCCGTGTTGTCGAGCGCATCAGAATGGTCAATCGGGCAAGAGAGATAAAGACAGCGTAGCGTAGCACGGCTTGTTCTAGGTGCTTGGTACATGGATGGCTGCACTCCGAGGCTATGTGATGGCACGGAAGCTTCGCGTTCCTGTGATGCATTGGCTATCGTATTTGGAGATAACGCACTTGCATTGTTGCATGCAACTCGGTGACGAGCCACTACAGAAACACACTCCCAACCACACGATTCGTTCATGACCTTGTGCTTCATTCCATCATTGCCGTTATCTTCGAAGCTCACGATCATGCATTCTCGAACCAGACTGACACCGAAACCAATGCTCTTTGAATCCAGTCATCGAACGCCCGTCCTGTTACTCCTCCTTGCTGTGCAATAGGCTTCTTCCAAAAAGAGCAGCATAGCTACCTCGTGATATCCCAAAACGAAGCAAATGCACGTTCTTTGACTCAATTTGACTCCACCAGGCAAAGCCAGCCAGAAGTCTCGCAGGGACGTAATCGAAGGCGGATGCGATGGATGCACCAAAAAAAAAAAAATCCAGACTACCGTATGTATCCTGGCTCTCGTAGGCGACCCATAGGCAAGCTGATCAACAGCGTCGCACCAAGGAGCGAGCTGATTCACATTTTGTCGACGAGGCTAGCTCGAGGTACCGGTAGCTGAGAACGCAAATGACTCTCTGCCTAAGCCTGGCCCACGCTCGCTTCCGAAGATAACCTCTCTACTCTAAAACCCCGTTCATTTTTTGTCCTACGGTACCAGAAAAGCATCCAACCATGAATGAATCCATCACGTGAGGATCCAGACGTCCATTGGCAGAATTCTCCAAATCGTACGTTGTGAATGACTCTTGCTACTAAAAAATCAGTGCTTGAACTTATCTTTATTCCTCCTTCCGTTAAAGAAGAACCAGAGTAGGTACAATCACATCCACACTAAACAGAGGTACAGTCAAACCCAAGATGGCATGGCCGAGATAGAAAATCGTCATCTTCGCAAGAGGTGCAAGGCACATTCTGCAAGAAGCATAGTTCCTCTGGGATTGTGCCAGACAAGCCAAGGTTGCCCCTTAGATTCAAAGAACCCAGATTTGTCAAACGTCCAAACTCATATGGCAAAGGTCCTGCCAACTGATTTTCATTCAAAAGCAAACATTCCATAGCAGTTAGTTGTCCCATTTCAGAGGGAATCTGGCCAGTTAATTGATTTCCCTTCAAATCCAGCTGATCCAAGGCGGTGAGTTGTCCAAACTCAGAGGGGATCTGCTCGCCTAGCTGATTGCTATGTAAGTCCATCCGCTTCAACGCAGTTGGTTGGGCCAGCTCTGATGGGATTTTCCCCGATAATCGATTTGCTGCCAAGTCCAAGTCAGTCAAACCAGTCAGCTGCCCAAGCTCTGAAGGAATCTGGCCAGTCAACTGAATTCCATGCACGATCAACGCAGTCAAAGCCGTCATTTTGTACAGTTCTGCCGGAAACAGAGATGAAATTGATGTTGCAATCTCATCATGACCGAACTGAAGGTTGACCAATGAAGTCAGCATGGCGATCTCCGGTGGAATAGTAGGTGTACCAGAAAGCTGGAGGTCCTCCAACCAAAGAGAGGTGAATCTACCATGGCTGTCGCAGGGAAACTTCCCATCATATTTGTAGAATTTTCCATCATAGAAGTACCCAGATCCACCGGAGAACCAGTTGCACTCTTCCACTGCGTCATCCATCCATCGCTCCTTTATGAGAGGCTTCCACTTTTCTCCCTCAAAGGCAAAGAAGAATGTAGCAAGAGCAAACAACTGCTCCTTTCTCCATTCTGAAAGAAATGTGATATTCTGGTGGTTTGCAAGCCAATTCCATGCTCTCCACTGAGGGTTTTCACCGCCATTGTTGATCCTAGCCAATGTTTGACTTGGTAGATTATCCCACAGCAAGTCCAGATCTCCCGCAGGGCCTGATGACGGGGCTTTGGAAGGTGTCTCTGCTGACGGCAAGACAACAACATCTGGCTCCTTGTTCTGATGTGCTACAAGGACTGTGCCACCAACAAAGGCTGCCCCAATGAACAGTATGACTGTGAACAGAATAAATAACTGCCGCTGTCTCTTTCGTTTTTGCTCTCTTTCCTCAACTTGTTGAAGATTCACTGGGTTGGCCAGTGGCCTCGCGTGCTCTTCATCAGGATCATCCAGAACTGGATTGGCTACTGCCAGCTGCTGGTTTTCACTAGTTGCATTGTTGGTGCTGGGCATTACAGTGTTTGTTTCTTCAACAAAGGAGGATTCAGCTGGATCCTGCAGCTGTACCAAACCACCCTGACCAGAAGTTCCACTCGCTCCTACAAGAGAGAATTGTAGAGTGTTTACACGCAGCAAGGCCATTCCTGGGGCTCCCATGTACGCTCCTGGTCGGGGTAACATTTGGCTTGTCCGGCACAGTGTAGTTTGCTGGATCATGTCTCCTTGTTGTTGGGTATTTCCTGGTGGCACTCTCTTTTTTTTCACTGCCTCTTTGTGTGTTCCCTTTGCCAGCGTTTCCATTTTGGCGGTTTCATTTATTTCTGTTTCCGCCTGTATGGGGTCATGATTGGGAGTGGCATTGTACGATTTCTTGAGTTCTTCTTGTTCTTGTAGATGTTCTGCCATTGCCTGACCAGCTCGTTCTGCCACAATCTCCATGATATTTTCTGTTGCTTCGTATTCTTCTGACTTGACTTCATTTATGCTTCTACATGTAGCACGAGTTGGAGTCAAAGAAATGGTAGGTGTCGTTTTGGCATGCCTTTTCTTGGCAACTTGCCTCTTGTCTTTGCCTTGAGCTTTGATGGCATCAGATTCTTCATCTTGGTACTGTTGTGCGGCTTCTGCCTTTTCTCGCTTGGTGAGGCTATCCATTACTGCTGAGTCAAGCTCAAGCTGGTCCGGCGGATTCTCAACGTCTCTAGTAGAGTTACTAGCTTGACCATTGCCATGATGTTTGTTTGATGGATTCATCTTCTTGGGAATGTTATCAGCTTTGTCTTCGTCCGTCTTACCAGGTAATGCAGCGGAGATACGAGCGATATTGCAGCCTTTGCCATGGCCATGGAGTGTCCTCAAACGGCATTTGCTGAAAGGAGCCTGGCCCTCGCTTGCATAGCTCTTGCATCTACTCTGTGGAGAAGCACGTTTGATGTTTCCCAGCTTGTTTCTCGTTTCCCGTTGTTTTTGCAAGCAAGAGTTCTGATTTGTGGCTAATATAATTCACCTTCACCTGCACCATATGTTATGGGTTTTTCTTTCATAACCTTCATTAATGTCACTAGTTGCTAGAGGGAAACCACGCCATATGTACCAGACACAAGACAGAAAGGAGTCTGAGAGGGCAATACTCTCTGAATCGAGTCTACTTTTAAAACTTGTACTCGTTCCTGGTACCAGTTCTTCACCTTCTCACTTTGAAGTTTGAAGAAGATACAATAATCAAAAAGTGCTGGCTTTTAAATATTTTACATCCGTGTTGGCAGCAAAGTTGGGGGCCTCAAGGGATGTGGTTGGTACCAGAGCTATGGAATTCTTGGAGACTTTGGGCACAGTCATTATTCTATCTATAGATGTCAGTTAGAGCATTGGAATCAGTGTTTATGGACCGCATTTTGACGGCGTTTTCATCTTGGAACTTGTATGGTATTTACTCACTCGGATTGATTCTTTGATGCTTCAAACCCAGCCAGTGTGAATAGACAACACCAGGAACTGATTGAATGAATTATTTCTCTCGGCGAAACACAGATGTAGGCCAGAACCCTACAGTGACAGTCTGCATGATTCGATGCCTGGCATCATCTATGCAAGTTGACGGTTGCCCCCATGCTTGTTCCATGTGAACTGGTATCGTGACGGTAAGTACGGTAGAGTACCGGTATCTTTGTGCTGGTTTGATGTCTATCTGGCTCAGCAGGCTTGAATGCATTAGAAGTTACGATGGGCTCGTAATACTTTTCTGTGAACGTTACCGTACTTTCTCCAGTCACTCTTTCCTTTAGAATAGAAATCACCCAAGAAGTATTGGATTTGGTAAGCGTTATCCACGCCCGGAATAAAAGTTACAAGACCGACTGGGGGATCGTGGAGCGCGATCTTTTCCTGTTCCAACGTGTTGCCCAACGCACAGCACAAACCGCAACACCAGAAGATATCAATCAATCAAAAGAAGCAACAATAGAAGCAATAGAAAGAGACAAAAAGACGAGAATGATGATGAACAACAACAAAAACCCCACGAAAGCCGACGCTGTGGTGGTCAACGATGACAAGAGCCCGCATACTCATGGACCTGGTCGAGTGGTGTATCACATGGATGCGTTGGAGCAAGATTCGGAGGATATTCCGTTTGTCAAGGGCGAAGTGCAGCTCTTGGAGTACCGCGATGTC